CTTTCTGGCCTACTGACATGGCACCGCAATCCCACAAGGCACTGCGGCGTGACGTTGGGTTTGACAACCACACTGGGGCACATAGTCACCAAAACACAGCAAACCTTAATAATCTTATCAAGCAGTGTTGTGTTTATTTCTGCTCTGCCCTGTTCATTGCACACACAATAATTCGTCTGCCCTATAGCTTCCGTGACGCTGTCTGTCCGATCACCACTGTCCACATTTGCAGCTGGTACCTCAACCTCCACTTGTCCAACACAACTGCTGTCCACTGCCTTCATGACATTGTGATTTTTATTGTTGGCCTTCTGTCAGATCTTCATCGATCACTTCTGCACGGGGCACACCTTCAGACTCTGCAGCTGCATAACGAAAGCCTGTAAGATAAAATTAGTGCATACACATAAGGTAAATGTACACCAATATTCCAATGACAGGTGTGTGATTCATCTGGAAGTTATGTGCGGATTAGTGTACAATGATAGCAATTTAGTATGTTTTTAGAGGCCCATGTGCAGTGTTGGTGCCCAGTCTGGATTTGTTACTCCATTTCATATGCTGGTTTGCCTGCAATAATGCCAAATCATAAGCTACTCAGTCGACATGACGTGGTTCTGCAGCATCACACATTAGCATGTTTTATCTCATTATCTATGACCTCAGCGCATTGCAAATAACACTAAAAGCCTTTTAATAGTGATATGAATTAATTTAGAACTCACCAGAAAGAAAATGCCGTGAGCAAACCAACAAAAAGCTGGGGATTGCAGAGAACTCGATATCTGCTTGTCTCACTGATGTCTTTGTTTAGTAATATCGGATACATGGGATCCCTCACGTTGCCTCCAGGATGGAAAACGATGAAAAGAGAGCCCATTATCCAGCTTCTTGCCTTCACGATCGTGTGATCTAACTTTGCAACTGACAACAAAACACGTACGAACCATAGCTGAAGCTGTATCCTGTGTCTGGCCTACTGTCATGGCGGAGGGGGGCGTGGCCCACCTCCCGTGACATCACATTTGCTTGCTTTCTGCTATGTAATTCTCTTGCTAAATGTCTGTATGTATTTTTCCTGCTGTTCATATGATTCAGTGCATTAAACTCTGTTCCAAGAATTCTACTCTTTTCCAGGGCATCTTTTTGAGTGTCTTGACTTTAATTGGATCTAAAGAGGTTGGATCTCCACATCCTTGGTGGGAGAAGGTTATCAGGATGGCGTCAAAATTTGCGACCACAGCTGCTCAACTGAGATGGATGCCTTCCTCAAACCACAATCCAAAGCGCGCAAGACTGAAATCCTCATTTAACATTGCTATATTATTGACTTACTTCACTCAAATATGAAATGGACAATTTAATCTATCCTCTCTGCATATCATGTAATTTCTACACTATATAGTTACACTTAACTTTAAAGCATGAGGCAATTGTGTTAAATATGCTTACATAAATCCAAGAGATGGCCAATCCCTTTTTTCAGTGCAGACCAGAGGCCCAGGACCATGACGAGTATCTTTTTATTCATTGAAACCTTTTTTTTGCACATCCAGTCAGATTTCCGTGTGTCCATGAGTCATATCACTTTAAACAGTTGTTTAGAATTGGTGTTTAAAGAGGTGGAAGTATTATTACTTAAGCAATGTGTTTCGGTCTGTTGCCTTCGTCAGGCACATGTTTTAGTTATACTCTATAATCTATATAACGTAATGTGACTGAATGCAATTATTTCTTTGGAAGAAACATTTTTCAAAGCAGGTATGTTCATTTGTCTTTGTTGGTAAAGTGCAGGAGTTGATACTTTCTTTATTGGATTTCCACCGTCAGAACAACTTGAACTGTACACGAGACATTCAATAGTCACAGGAATTTATCTTTTTTTATTTATTGCAGTAATTTTCACTTATTCATGTGTGAAGTTCCATGAAGTATAACCAAGCTAAATTTTCTTTGTGCATAGTAATAATGCCAATTAAAACTACTGCTAAAGATCTGACCGGTGGGGCTCTTTTTGATGTCTGAAACGTGTGGGTCATTTCATTTAAAGAAGTTATTCACACTTCCGTACAATCTTTTTTTTCTCATGTATACATTTTTATTTTTGTATTAGTCTTTAAAAGCTAGAGGTAATGTCACTGTCCAAGTCAGTATTATCATTGTATCAGTATCATCATAATAGTAAATAAAGAGTTTCTTTTGTCACAGGATGTCGCACATCGTCACTCCACATCAAACAGGCAGGAAACCATTGGTGTGTGACCTCTTTTTGTGTCTACACAGAGTATGAGAAAAAAAAAAGTCAGTTTACGCTGTCACTTCTGCAAAGATGACACGACTCTACTGGGCCATGTTATTGATCGGGTTTTGTTCCAGTTCAGGTACGTCCACATCATTTTCTTAAAATATTTTATTGTTTTAATGCAGCTGAAATCTGCTTGCAACAATATTTACATAACTAATTTAGAAGGATAGCTTCAATGAGTGATTTACGTCACGTTGATGTTTGCTGTGCGTCTCTAGTGTAGATGTCTCTGTTTTATTCTGTATTTGTCCATCATCTAATCAAACATTTTGCCTCTTCTATAACAGAGAGCACTATAATCATCAGAGAGCCTGGTGAGAGCATCACTTTGAAGTGCTCATCAGAAGGATGCCCCCCCAAAAATGATGGATATGCTGGGATGTATCTGTATCATAACTTTATTGAACAGAAAGAGGTGTATTTCTATGGTAACTATGCCAACAGCAAAATCATGGAGCGACCACGATACGAAGGCAGGATTGAGTCAAACGGCGCTCCCATGAACCACAACATCACCATCAGCAACTTGACCGTGGATGATTCTGGTGTCTACACTTGTGTCTACAAAGAATCAGCTGACAAAGGTGTCAACTGCAATGTCTACACAGTTTTCGTGAGAGGTGAGTTTCTTTTCTTCCTTGTTAAAAATTCTGCGACTTTGTTCTGCAGCTCACAAGCCTGTAGAATCAGCCAAGGACAGTGGACTGCATGCAGTATTTAGAGAGTCAAGATCTGACCCTTACTCTTTGGCCCCAAATCTGCTTCTATCTTGATGAATATGTTATAAATTACAGAAATATATGAGAACAGAATGAGGTGTATTTTTATAGCAATCATATCAGTGGCAAAGTTATAGTGCGACCGTGATATGAAGGCAAGATTGAGACTGAAGGAACCTCTATGAACCATAGCATCACAATAATCAGTCTGACTGTGGATCATTCTGGTGTCTTCATTTGTGTCTACAAAAAATCATTTGACCATAGAGTCGTGCAGCGTCTACACCGTTTTCATACGTGTGTTTTCTTCTTGTTAAAAACGCCACAATCTTGTCCAGTGACTCACAAAAGAGTTGGCCAAGTGCAGTGCAGTGCATACCCTGTACCTGTTACATATTTAATAGATAACCCTTACCTTTTGACTTTTTGAGAAAATGCAGAAACATGTATGAAAAAGCAACAATTTAATTAATCTACTTGTTTTTTTTTTTTACCTATACAGTCATGATGTTACAGCTAAATGGGTCTTTTGGTTTTTGGCAGAGGTAGCACTCTATATAAACACTGTTTATTAAAAAGCCTAATCACTATATTAACACAACAGTGGCTAGATTTAGCTCTTTGACTTATGTAAAATACAGTTGTTTGCTTTTAATATAGTTAATTTTCTACAAAATTTTAAATGAACTGAAACATCATACACAAGTACATTTACATCTCTTCTTGTCTATGTGATACATACAAGGGAGTTTTAGTTTATATGCTCTCTCCTTTAGGTTTATCAGGAATTGCAAATTTACTCTTAGTGAGTGGTCTGCAAGCTAAAGAAATTCCACGAATGTAATAATTATAGCAAATCTTTTGTGCAGCTGCAAGACAACAACACATTTGTTTTCCTTTATTCTCACAGAAGTGGCACCATGCCTGGGACAAGATGACCTTCCCACCTCGGTGTTAGTTGTCATTACCTGCATGTACCTTAGCGTGCTGTTAATCGTAATCTTTATCCTACTGATAGTCCACAGGGTGAGTTGATTTGATTACATAGCTGTCCTATATTGTATTTTAAAAAACAAGAACATGCCCTTATATGGGGACAGTTGGTTTATTTTTACTGCATCAGAAAAGAGTTTAAGGTGCAAAAAAGTCACAAAAGTAATGTCCCCATAAGAGAACACAGAGTCTCAAGGAGTTAAAATGTTTTTACAGTATGCAAGATAATCTATTCCAGTTCTGCAAGCTATGACACACTGCCTTTCTGTCTGTAGAGTTTCACAACACTTTGATGTAACTGCTGTGACCGTGATAGATGTTGTTGTGCTGAGAGACTGATAACATCTAAAACCACCGCTTTATATATACTCCTTGTTCTGTTGCTTCTTGGAAGACTATAAACTATTCACACTTTGGCACAGGTTATATAACAGATGAATTATTAATAACATTATGACTTACTTTCCCCTTTGACGTACATACTACCGACAGGTGAAACAAAGGAAGAGCTGCAGAAGATTATCCAGGAGTTCCCAGCAAGAACCAGATGATTATGTGTATGAAGTTATGACCAAGAACAGCCTCTACACTTTGGCAACTTCACCGCAGCAATCTTAAAGTCCTTATGAGTTTTCTTAGAATTACAGTATAATTATTGTGTTTAACAATAGAATTTAGGAATCTGATTGTGTCTTATTGATTTTGTTAATAATGGTTAATGGTTTGCCTGGACTCATGGACAATATCAATCATGCTCCATAAAGTCTCATTAAAAATTAAAGTTTAAAAGTTATTAAACTCTCAGAAATGAATGAAAGCCATGCAGGAGGCACAGTGACTGTCCCACAGGAAGTATGCAAACTGATCACCAAAGCTATTTATTACTTTATCTATAGAATTTATATTACTGTGGAGCACAACATTTGCACAATAAAGGTTACTGATTTGTTCAATTCCAACATGAATGCAATTGGTGAGTGTTTCTGGCTTCTTTACTGCAATATAGGGCAAACATTTTTGAGGTTTGTGGGGGAGGGATGGATGAGATGTGAGCAGAAACCAACTAAGAAGACGGGCAGGAGCAGATGGGTAAATGGTTTACATGACTAACTGCAGATTTTGCACGATATATTATTACAGACAATTATTTTTTACCATAATAAGGTGTATAAAACAAATAAATGTACAATAAAAAAACATGCTTTTTTCCAAGTAAATATATATTTCTAAAGGTGCTATTGATGTGAAAGTCTCACTAGGTTTCAGTAACAATCCATACAATCCACAAATGCAAAGAAATCAAACCACTGATGTGCAATAATGAGAAATCACACAGAGAAAAAGTATTGAAAATGCTTAATGAAATGTATTTAACATTTCATACAAAAACCTTGTTGGCTGTATGGAGAACCATGCATTGCTCTGGTTTGATTGTGGTTCATTTGTCCACACAAAAGTCTTAAAAAAAGTTTTGTGGGCCCTCTGAGCTTTAGTTCTTTACATTTTCAGCTGGATTCAGGTCAGGTGATTGGCTCGGCTATTCTAGCAAACTTTATTTTCTTTTTCTGAAACCACCTGAGAGTTTCCTTGGCTGTGTGTTTCTCATCATTGTTTTGCTGAAACATCCACCCTCATTTCATCTTCGTCATCCTGGTTGATGGCAGCAGATTGTTATCAAGAATGTCTCGGTACATTTTTCCATTCATTCTTCCTTTAATTATATGAAGTGTGCCAGTGTCGTCATGCTGGAAAACAGCCCCACACTGTGATAATCCCACCTCAAACCTCACTCTTGGTGTAGTATTTTTGGGGTGATATGCAGTGCCTATTGACCTACAAACCTGGTGTGTATTATGGCATTCAAAGACTTAGATTTTGGTCTGATCTGACTTTCAGCTTCTGTAAATGTTGTTCAGTTGCTGATTTATGTATTCGTATTTATGTTTTTGTGTTACAAATGCTTATAAATTCTCATATTTTCTCCCCCTCCCTTTTTAAAAAATTGTCATACCACAACTATAATGTCATAATTGAGTTAACAGTAATAAAAATTCATAAATAAACAGATAAAAGAAACACACACAAGAGGAGCCTGTAGAAAACTTATAGAGCTCCCCTTGTAAAAACAAAATATGATGGCACAACAGTGCATTCAGATCATAACTCTGATTGCAAAAGCTGTCAGACATGACAGGATTTTAAAACAAACAAACAAACAACAAAAAAACAGATCATTCTGAGATGGAAATCATGGCTCAGGATGCTGAGGAAATGGCTGAGCGTCAGTCTTCACTGGATCATTGCACTAGTGTTTCCCAGCTCTTTGACACTGTGAATGTTGTTCCCTTGCCTGTGAAAGAGTTTCTTACCTGCTTTTCCGGTGCAGGGGTTTGCCTGAAACCTTAAAACCCATGGACACGTAGTTGTGAGCAGCCTCTTGTCTTGAAGTGAGCATTTGGATTTGAATTTTTTTGGATACTGTGGAGAGTCTAAAAGGAGACTGGGACTGTCACTGTTTTTAATTTGGATGTTATTGAAAATTCACTGTAAATGCATTGAACTCTGACCCGGAATCCACATTTGAGTCCTGCATTTGAGTTCTGCCTGTTCCTAGAACCTCGGCAGAGAATCTGTGGTATAAACTTCATGTGTTTGTTAAAGCAACTGCACACATTCAGAGAGTACAGGCAGAGAATAATTTAAGCCCCAGTATACTAACCTTTTGCTCTGAGGTCTGTGTGTGCATAATAACATCAAGCAGCGGGGCATATTCAAACCACAGGAAGACGTGGGAGTGGGAACCGCTTTGTTTGTCTTGATGCCCTTTGCTGAAGCAGTATCTGATATGTATAGATGTATCTTCTTACTTCTACTTTTATGTTGTCTGTCAAGGTTTGACAGACAACATAAACCTTTGAATTTCTGGGATGGTGGCGAGTTGTTGTGTCTTTGTGTATGTGTATGTAAGACTTTGTGCGTTGCTATTAAATGCTACTAATTAAGTTCCACTGAGCTGATCTTGCAGATGCTGCATTTTTATCTTCTCAACTGTAACAGTATCGGATTTTTCCAATAACTGTCGACATGCTAAAAGATTGCAGATTATTCTTGCTGTTAGCAAATCAAATCAAATCAAATCAAAAGAGTAAAATGTTCCAAGAAGGATTTATAATGTAAAAAATAATTTATTATGCTTTTATGAAATATATTAATCTCAATTACAAAACAATATATGGGACAGCCTTACTTATAAAGGTTAGTAACTTACATGCATGTGGTGTACAAAATATTAGCTTGTGGACAAAATGTATTATTGTTTGTACATATTTGAGGATTTTTTTCACTTTACTTTAATAAAAATGGATTAAAAACAAGAATAACCAGGACAGGCAGGATTTGTTGTGTAAAAAATAACATGCACTGTTACACGAACAGCTACTGGTTCCATTTGTGACTGTATCCAGAAAAAAGCCCCTTAATATGAAACAGACCTTTACGGATCTGTTTCCCTTTCACACACTGACATGACTGAAGCTCCGTCTACAACATGTAAACTCAGTTAACTCAATATAGATGTTATTACCTCCTGATCTCTTCCCACAGATATATTTGCTTCCATTAGACCTTGTTTTCACCTCCTCGTAGCTGCTGTCATGTCCAATTTTCTTGTGAATGGTCAAAAACAGTCAGTGTTTTTGCTCGTTTTCTTAATAAACACACGTGAACCAAATGTCAACTTAAACTAAATTAGACTAAAACATGTCATCATTTATTCTTCTGATAATCCTAAATACCTTATGACATCAGAAATCTGCATATGGACACAAGATCTCTGTGAGTGCAATAAAAATGTCAGAGCTGCACAGATTTATAACCATGCAACAAACTGTCCCACAAAGTTGTGTATTTACAGCCGTTTGTTGCACAAGAGCTTTCATCAAGTTGAGATTTGAACTTCCTCACAGCTGTCAGGACAAGTTTTTCTGCTCAATTTCAGGTGAAGATTTGTAATATTGTGCTATTATTGTTATTGTTATTATTGATGTTTCCTATATCAAACAGATGACCTGTAAAGTAACTTCAATAGGATAACACATAGATGTTCTGGGTGTTTTTCTCATCATAAATAAACCAAAAAAGGAGGTTTGTGACAGGCCACCTGAACAGGTGTGTCAACAAAGTACGGGGCATCAATTTAGCTTTTCCTTAGCTACAGTAATCTTACTCGTCTGTGTGTATAGGTCTATGGAATACAATATTTTTGTTTTTGTTTTTTTAATGTTTGACAAATTTGAGTTATTTTATTTTGAAGGTGTTATTCACTTGTTCACCCATTTGTTCTTCATGCGTTTTCATTGAGCCATATAAGTCTTTACGTGTTGTAATCTAAATCAGTAACTGACTGAATGTAATGGCTTTATCTGACAGGATGCACACATCTTCAGTCTACATCAAACATACAGGAAACACTGCTTGCTGTCTCTTCTGTGTGTGTGTATATACAGAGTGTGAGAAACTAATTAAGCATCATATGCTGTCACTGCTGCAAAGATGATGCTGTGTTTGACCTTATTATTGATTTGTTATGATGCATATTCAGGTATGTCCATTTATTTTCCTTATTTCTCCAAATATTTAAAGGTTTTGATTTTAAGTCTGCTTGGAACAAGACTAGAGGATTTTCTTTTTAAATTTTGCCTTGTTACTGTATTACTATATGTACCCTTGACAGATTCTAAAAAGAAATAAGGATGTTTAGTCACTGCTAGTGCGAATGGCTCTGTTTTATGTCATATTTTACACCCTGTAATTTTGCCTCTTTTATAACAGAAGGCACTATAATCATCACGGAGCCTGGTGAGAGCATCACTTTAAAGTGTTCCTCAGAAGAATGCCCCCAAAACAATGGTCGATATGTTGGGATGTATCTGTATCATAGGTTTACTGAACAGAATGATCGCACAGCAAAGTTATTGTGCGATCGAGATACAAAGGCAGGATTGAGTCAAATGGAGCTCTCATGAACCAAGCATCACCATCAGCAGCTTGACTGTGGATGATTCTGATGTCTACACCTGCGTCTACAAAATATCAGTCGACAAGAGTGTTGAGTGCAAAGTCTACACAGTTTTTGTGAGAGGTATGTTTTTCTTTTATATTCTCAAAACTCCACAGTCTCATCCGGTAACTCAGAACAGAAATGCAGCGTTTAAGAGTTAAAATTTCCATTGAAAGGTGTAGTTGAGAGATAAGTGTTATCTTTACAACAAACTGAGCTTTCACATTGAGTTAAAGCAAGAAAATACAGAAAAATCTAAGAAAGAACAACACACATCTAATCAGCGAATTACATGCAATAAACTCAGTTTATTTAGATACTGTTGAGATCTAAACTGAGCACCAGAATAGGGATGAAGGATGGTTTAAGCGACTTTGAACTTGACATGGTTGTTGATGCCAGACGACCTTATTAGACTATTTCAGAATAGGCTGAACCACAGCTATCTGTAGGGTTAACAAAGGATGGTCTGAAAAAGAGAAACTGTCCAGTGAGCAGCAGGATACCCTGGTTACAACCAACATACTGTCTTGTATCAACACTTCTAATGCTGGTGGTGTAATGGTGTGGGGAATATTTTTTAGTACCACCTGAACATTGTTGAAACCTAACAGCCTACATGTTTTGCTGTTCATCATGTCCATTACTTTGTGAGCAGTGAGATAACACACCACGTCATGAAGCTCAAATCATCTAAAACTGACTTCTTCACATGACACTGAGTTCACTGTACTTAATAGTAACTAGACCTCAACCCAACACGGCACCTTTGGGTGTGGTGGAATGGGAGATTCACATCATGGATGTATGACTGGCACGTCTGCAGCAACCATGTGATGCTAACATGTCAGTATAGACCAGAGCCTTGCATTGGGACAAAACACAAATCTCACAGGACACAGGCACGGGGCTGAGCAGGAACCAAAAAATAGATCAACGTGTGTCGAGAAACATTTTATTAAGACAGTGGGAGTGGGTTTAAAAAATATTCTAATGGAAGGCTCTAATATGGACCAAAATCTCTGAGGAATATTTCCAGTTCCTTGTTGAATCTGTGCCACAAAGCATTAATGCAGCTGGGAAGGTGAAAGGCATCCAGCTCTGTGTCTGTATCACAAAAAGAGAATTTTATTTAAAATGTACATTTCTTTTTATTCATTATTAAAGATGTGCAAACCTGTTCTCATTATGACAAACTGTATGGTGCATGTGTGGTGTAACTCTTGTTTTCCTGTAGTTCCCACAGGTCCTGATCATCAGCTCCTGTGTCATAAGCCTGCTGTTGCCCGTCATCCTCATCCTACTGAGTGTGAGTTATTTAGTCCTCTTGACTTATGGTTTTATACCTAAGTTAAAATACCCTAGCTCTGCAAGTTATGACATGTTATTTATTATCTGCATTTATCAGTCTTACCAAAACCACATATAACTGCTGTAAACATGATGAACCTCATGGCCCTGACACACTGATTACTTTTAAAAACCACTCTGAGCTTTTTATCATGAAGTGCAGCTGTGGAGATGCTGCTGCTTCCTTAAAAACCAGTGTAGTGCGTCCACATTTCTCTCATTGTTATTTCAAGATTTTAAAAAATTGTTTCTTTGATACATAACTCAAAATTATTGATAATTTAACATTATCCCTTTCCCATCTGAAGTCTAATTTTATTTTAAGAAATCTGGACTTATTTACTGTATAAATGTTTCCAGTTGGTAACTCATTTTCTCAAAGCTGTAGTGATTCAAAAGTGTTTTAAATCCGCTCAGAATTCAGTCCAAAAATTACTTTTGAACAATTTTCAATACTTAATGTAAAGTCAGTCACTGCAGTGTTTTTACTTCCAACAGGTGAAACGAAGAAGAAGCTACAGAAGAACAGCTGTTGTCTGCAAACAGTTAAAGAAAAGTCTGCCTTATGGCTGGAATGAGCTGGACGTGTAATATATTACTGCTAAATTAAGAGCTGCTGCTGAATTAATGATCAGTAGGAAAAAGCTGAAAAGGTTAGTGGCGTGGCTACTGATGAGGTTCCCAAATATCTGCTGGTGAACCAGAGGAGTGAACTGACGATGTGATCATCATTTGTAAAGCTGCAGCAAGAACTTTATCTGATTCTTTTTTGTGTTTTAAATACTTTATACATTCTGGAAATTTGAAATGAGCCCGCACAGAGATTTTACTCTTTGTGTTCTGACGTATTTGTGTTCATTTTAGTCAGGAATGTGTTAAAAGTGTTCTTGGTGAATCAGTCAATTTATTGATGCCTTTTTATAATTTTATTATTACCATCAGTTTCAGAGACATTTGATGATGTATTCATTAGTTAGTATAAATGAGCAACAACATTAGTAACATGAAATGAACACAGTCTTTTTAGAAATGAAATCCTGGTGACATGAGATTGAAACTGTGAGATTGAAGTCAGGTGCCTTGACTTGCCTCGGCCGCCAGATGTCACTTTTTTGATAAGACTGAAGTCTCTAAGTCTTGAGTCTTTACTTGCATAAGTACAGTATTGAGTTCTTTGAGTTTGTTTTCCAGACTCCAGCTTACATTTGAACATCATACTTTTCCACACATATAACAAAACTGTAATACTGCATGGTAATAAGCAAGAAAGAAATGTCACAATCCTGTGGCCTTCTGATTGGTAGACAAATTAATTGCCACAGTAAGAAATCTAAGGATTAAAGTGAAGACAGTTGATCTTATTGACATAAGTTTCACCTTCCTCTTTTTTGATGTGCCACCTGAACAGGTAAACATGTATATGTTTGTACCATCTTCAGCTAACAATTCAAAGGTCTTTTCATGATTTCAATCAGGAAATGACTTAATGTAAAGATTTTATCTCACAGGATGCACACATCATCAGTCAAACCATACAGGGAAAAACTGCCTACTAGCTCTCTTGTCTTTGTTTATGTACAATACAGTGTGTGGCAAACAAAGTCAGTATATGCTGTCACTGCTGCAAAGATGATGCCACTGTGCTGGATCATATTATTGATTTGTTGTTATTCTCATTCAGGTATGTCCATTTTTTTTCTTTTAAAATATTTAAAAGTTTAAAGTCTACTTGGAACAAGACTAGGTGAGAGAATTTTAAAAAAAAAAAAAACTTTTTTTTTTTTTACCTGTACCTGTATAAATTTTTGTATCATTCATCACTGATATGTATCTGTAATCACTTAAATGGTGATGTCTTATGTTATATTTTACATCCTGTAATCAGACATTTTGCCTCTTTTATAACAGAGAGCACTATAATCATCAGAGAGCCTGGTGAGAGCATCACTTTGAAGTGTTCATCAGAAGGATGCCCCCAAAACAATGATGGATATGCTGGGATGTATCTGTATCATAACTTTATTGAACAGAAAGAGGTGTATTTCTATGGTAACTATGCCAACAGCAAAATCATAGAGCGACCACGATACGAAGGCAGGATTGAGTCAAACGGCGCTCCCATGAACCACAACATCACCATCAGCAACTTGACCGTGGATGATTCTGGTGTCTACACTTGTGTCTACAAAGAATCAGCTGACAAAAGTGTCAATTGCAATGTCCACACAGTTTTCGTGAGAGGTGAGTTTTTGTTTTTTCCTCGTTAAAGATTCTGCGACCTCGTCCTGCAGCTCACATGCTTGTAGTATCAGCCAAGCACAGTGGACTGCATGCACTGGCTAATTAGAGAGTCAAGATCTGACCCTTACTTTTTGGCCCCCATCTGCTTCTATCTTTGATGAATATGTTATAAATTACAAAAATATATGAGAAAAGCAGCATCACTAAAACTTAATTATGTATATATTTAATTATAGCCTTTTCCAGTTTGTAAAATGATTTCAAAAGGGAACCTCACAGGTGGCATATATAGTCCTTTAGTACATTTACTGATGTTTTTCTCTATATCATACATACAAGTAATTTCTTGTGCAGGTGCATGAAGCAGCACACCTGCTGTAACTCTTGTTTTCTGTATTTCTCAAAGGATTGGCACCATGTCCCAGCCAAGAGCCCCAGATCCCCACCACTGTGGAGGACAGATTTCTAGTCATGCTGTTGATCATCTGTATCTGTGTGATCAGCACACTGTTAATCATTATTTTCATTCTGCTGATTACGCAGAAGGTGAGTTCAATCCTCTCTACTTATGGCTAACTTATCTATCTATGCAACAGTGGTTACCTTTACTGTCTGCAGATATTGTGATATGACTGCTCTAAGCTTTCTTGCACTGACATGCTGATTAGATCTAAACCACTAAATGAGCTGGTTCCATTTTGAAGTGCTGCTATGGTAGGCCTGCTGCTTCTTGGAAACGAATCTTCTGTGCTCACACTTTCACTGTTGGCAGTCATCTTCAAATGCTTTAGCTTCTTACGGTCACTGTGGAAAACATCTGTTACTGTTACAATACACAATCTTTACACTGTTGTTTTACTATTGACAGGTGAAACAAAGGAGTAGCTGCAGGCGATTATCCAGCAGTTCCCCGGAAGAATCAAATGATTGTGTGTATGAAGTTATGATGAAGAATAACTTCTACTCTGTCGCAGCTTTAGAACAATGAACTCAAAGCCCCTATAACTTTGCTTAGCAATACCATCCAACCTTTTTGGTTGGATGGTTTTTTTCTCTTTATTCAAAATTCAACCATGCAATTCAATACATTAGTAAAAATGTCAAACAGTAACAAGTTTAAGGGTAGAGTCAGTAATTTATGAAGTTCTTAAATTGAAAAAAGTATACTGTACACTTAAATACAATGGTGCCAAAATACATAGGACCAGATTTGAGGTTTGTGGAAGCTGCCACGTTCCCGCCATATTTGAATATAGTAGCTGGGAAGGACATTCCAACTCATAGCGTTTTATGTGTTTGACTGGCCTCATACATAGTACGTCAAAGATGGAGGCAAGGAGAAGTCATCGGTGTTAGTGTGCTATGATATTTAAATTTGGGCCTGCACCTTTAGGCTCAAGATATGAAGCATAAGGGGGTCCCCGTTACCAAAGAAACAAAAAGGTAAAGGAAAGAGACAATGCCCTGAAAATCGAAATAAAATGTCAGGACTGTAACATATGGAAAAGTGTCTTGCCCAAGGACACAACGACCAGGACAGAGAGCCTGGGGAAGATGCGCTTCCCAATCCCCTGAGCCACGGTCGCCCCAAAACTGTTAATATTAAGCTTAATATCAGTCAGAAGTGAGCTTCTCTGACTCATTGACCAGTGTCAGAGTCCTTTCACAAAGTTTTACAGCCTCTTCTACAGTAAATACAGGGGCATGTTTTTCACTTTGCATTGACAGCTGAGGTAAACAGTGGCCTGACAGGATGCCACAGACAGGGGAAAAAAGTAGGGGTGCAACGATACACAAAATTCACGGTTCGGTTGGTGTCACGGTTTGAAATTTTTTCGATACAAAAAATGTTCATGCCTTTTTAATTTGTCATTCATTAAAATTATAAATATATATTTTAACTCAAAAGTACAGTTTTTAAATTCAATGTTGCTGAAACAACAAAGTAAGAAAAAAAAATCAATTTGATCGAGAAATCACTCATCTTTGGAAAAGAGAGTTAATTACAGAGAAATGGCTCTTTCCAAAATAAAAGCTATACTATACGCTTCTTCTGGAGTATATTCTCAGCAGCATATTAAACATATCAGGTCCCCATAAGGAGAATCATGTGCTAACGGCTGTCTAAATGACTCGGGTAAAGTCTGTAGCATGCGTGCTTGTTGTTTTTGTCTGCTTCCACTTGTCTTTGCACTAGGATGATGTCGGCGTAAATGTGCAGTCATATTCGTTGTGCTGTCAGCGTTAATCTCGTTAAAATGACATTAACGCCATAACGGCAAATCTCCGTTAACGAGTTACCGTGGATCGCCCCGTGAGTGGGGCTGGACGGCATCAACACGTTAACAAGCTAACTGCGCTAACGCACTAGTTCCCACCAATTGAGCATTGCGTGGCACATCCGACATACTGTTTTACTTTTGTCCATGACGCGCTTACCATCAGGGTCATGCTTCACATGAAAACCAAGATAGTTCCAAACGCCAGATCTGAATGAGGGTGGGGGAGGTTCAATTTCGGGTAGCGTTGAGGCAGTTGCCATGTTGCAACGAGCTTAGCTTCTGTCTTGCTAGCTTGCGCTGCGCTCAGTGGATCTGCACTCGACGGTGCAGCCTAGGCGGAGTATTTGAACGCAGATCCACTGAGCGCTCAACACAGACAGCATCGTCAGAAGAAAAGTTGATAAAATAAATAAAAAATTTTGTATTGTTCGATACATATGCATACTGAACCAAAAGCACTGTATCGAACTCGATACGAGTATTGTTGCACCCCTAGAAAAAAGTAGTAGAAACATAAGCCTTAGTCTTGGCTGACTACAATTTGTTTGTCCTATAGCAGCCACTTTAGCTAATATTACGCATTTGAATTGGGAAGGATAAGAAAACAAAATTCACTTGACTTAATTATTTGTAATAGGAATGCATTGCCAGCTCTGCGAGCACAAATCACCTAAGAATGTAGGAATGAGTGGGTGCAAATAGATGACAGATATCATGCTATAATATTAACAAGCTGACAGAATTCATATATACATTTTTATTTTTATTACAGTTTTTTAAACTCTTTTTTTTAGGTATTTCGAAGGGAAAAAAAGCTATTTGGTTAATAGAAAGGCAATAAAATGTTTTTATCATGTTGTTAATTTTTTTTCTAAGCAATAATCTATATGAATAAATGTACTTTAATAAAATGTGTAAACATGCAAACTATGGAACAATCAAACTACTAAGATTTCAGTTTCTTCTTGTGATCTCTAGTTGTCATCATTAGTTTATTTCAGTGTTTCTTTTTTATTTGATTTTTTTCTGTGAAGCTGTCAAAAGTATGGAAAAAAATAAAGTATTTTTGAGATTCCAATCAACTGACCTATTTGTCAAACTTTCCTTTTCAACATGGTACTAAACTAAATTTCCGGTAAAAGACAGGAAGTTTATGCCAGACCACAGGTATTGCAAAAACACAGTCTCACTGAAACATGAACAATAACTAGACTATGCAGTTCACTCTGCAATCGCAAGGGATTTTTTAAATTATGATTCTCCTGCAGTCATCTGACCACCAAGCCACATAGGGGCATTTGAGTGAGTGGAGTGCCATTTAGCTACCCAGCTGACTCTCATTATTAATTAATCCATCTTTATTTGTTGTAGAAAGTTACCTACACATTTTGGCAGCTTTTTAAAAATACACTAAAATAGTAAAAATGAAAAGAACTATAAAAATTGCAATAAAAACATACAAAAAACAGGAATATACCATAATAAACCCCGTTGTTGATTGTTATGGCAGCAAGTATAATGAAGACATCACGAATTTGGTATTTCCATCAATGCAAATATTGCAATATTGTGCATTTGTCCCAACAGTTATTTGCATGCGTGTTTGTAACAGGACCACTGGGGAAGAAACTGCCCTTTAGTCTGTTTTTGGTTTGTTATCTCTTCCCTGATCACAAAGGGTTAAACAGGTGGTGACCTGGTTGTGTTAAGTATCTGCTTCTAGCAGCTGCTTATTAGCTGCTATTATGGCCCACTTCAATCTCCTCTTGTAGAACAATCTCTCTTGTGCTTCCCTTGCATGTGTGATATATTCAGTAACCATTTAAAATTCTTAGTATTGTGAACAACCAGATAATCTACACAATCTCTGCCTTTTCATTACTTATGTAAAGTGGGGATTTTGTGGTGTGTACAGATCTTCTCACGTCCGCAGTGATTTCCTTAGTGGCATTCAGCACCAGCCCCTCCTCATCAGTGGTGATCATTTTAAAAGTAAACGATCTTTTGCTAACATCTTGGTGCCAAATACCACATCACACCTTCAGAGGTCTAGTGGAGGACCAACACAACATTAGGTGGCCATCATTTTATGCCTGATTGGTGTATTAAGCAGCACAAATAGTATAAACTTTACAGTTTCATGCGTCTATAATGACACTTAGACACCATTCACAGGCCCAAGACATTAACACCCTAAAGCTAATGGCTTATATACTGTGAAAACCTAAATAAAACATGCTAACATTTGAATCATTTGAGCCCTAGTGTACTAACCTTTTACTGTCAGGTCTGTGTGTGCCATAATAGTGCCATGATAGCATGTGCAAACCACCGGAAGGCAAGGGAGGGAGGTTTATCTTGTTCATCTTGTATGACCTATAATATTCTTATGTTTCCTTTTGTGATGTTTGCTATTGGCCTACTTTGTGACCACTCCAGTACTTTGTGTTCTGATTTTTGCTACCAGGTGCCTTTCTAATTTCGGATTGGTTTTGCCTGTTTGACTTCAGTCATGTTAGCATGTTTTGTGAGTGTCACTCAACAACTTTACATGGAAAACTGGTCAGTAATGTAGAAATTCTAATGGCAGAATCATAACCGTGACTAATAAACGTCTTGATCTATTTGAACTTTTGAATTTTTTTTTCTCAAGCAGATCGAAAGCCAGTTGCCAACTGCTACCGAGACATTTACACAGAACTATATTTTCAACTATATTTGAACATGCCAACAAATATCAAAAGAAGAGCAAATTGTTAATACCAACAATAATAATAATAAAAATAATAGCAATCACAGTCTTGATGCACGCTCAATCATCCAGGTAAGTAGATCCAAGTTGATTCTGTTCATCTGGACGTAGCGTTTTGAGGGAGAAACGTTTCGTCACTCATCCACGTGACTTCTTCAGTCTCAGATGAGGCAGCTCTTCTGTGTTGTGCCATCTGCTTCGCCAGAGGTTGTTTGGTTTCCTCGATGTATAAATCCTGGCAATCCTCCTGGCACTTAACAGCGTACACTGTGTTACTCTGATTGTGTCGGGGGACCCGACACATTTTGGGGTGGACCAAATTCTGGCGCCTGTTTTGGGGTTTAAAAGCCACAGAGACCCGGTGTTTAGAAAAAATGTGTCTCAACTGTTCCCATACTCCTGACACATATGGGATCACTATGGGTTTTCACCTTGGCAGCGGTTGTCCTTCTCTCCTGGATTGGCTGGAGGTTTCTTTTGGCGCCGTCCCAGCTTTCACAAAAGTCCAGCTGGGATAACCACATGTACTCAGGGCCTTCTTGATGTGGTGTTCTTCTGCTTCCCTGGCCACTGTGTCTGTGGGGATGGTGTTTACTCTGTGTTGTAGCATCCTGATGTCACCCAGTTTATGCTCCAGTGGATGATGGAGAAATGTTTTTTACATTGTTTTATCGTTTAAGCATGCGTGTCCTACACTTCACTAACCATTCTCGTGTTGTGTGTTTAGCATCTCTGCATTTTCTACATTTTCCAGATCTATATTGACTTTCACAGTGTTTATCATTCACTCTTGCTGAACTGAGCCAACTCATTAGAGTGAAACAGACTAACTCGTCTACTCTACTTGAGCACTCTACCTCCTGAGCTACAGCCATCCCAAATGCAGTCCTGTCTGATGGAATCCATCCTAACACATGCCATCTATAGCACCCCACACATAACATCACACCATCGAGCTTTACAAGCCAAAGATAAAAATCACTCTTATTTCACAGGATCACACATACCATCACCCCACATTTACCCAAACAGGAAACACCGCTCGTTGTCTTTCCTGTCTGTGTGTAAATATAGTGCTGGCAAACAAAGTCAGTATTTACGGCCACAATTGCAGTGACAATGGCACTGTGTTGGGCCGTATTATTGATTTGTTGTTATTCTAATTCAGGTATTTCCATTTATTTTGCTTTTATCTTTGTTTTCTGATTCTTTTTAAGTTTCCTTGGAATAAAGATTCTTGTACTTTTTACTACTTACCTGCATAGAAACACTGTGGTTCAAGTTAATGTCACATTAACCTTTGATATGCATGTCTAGAAATGATATCCAGAAAAGGTAACACACAGGTGACATACTGTAGTCCTCCAGTATATGTACATGTGAGTCTACAGTATATCACACATACCGAGAGAATATCAGCCTTCTTTTTATTTTTTCCTTATGTTTCCTTCACGTTTATGAGGAATTCTGTACCATATTTCCAATTTATTGGTACAAAAAACAAAAATATGTTAATGACACTCCACAAATGCTATTGTTAAATGCTGTTCCTTGGATTATGGTAAGTTTACATGAAGACAGCACATTTAGTGGAACCAATGTTTTTCTGTTTTCACAAAGTACTGGCATGACGTCCCAGTCAAGAGCCCCAGACCACTGTGGAGAAGAGTAGTGTTAAACATCAGTACCTGTTTCCTCAGCATGTTGTTGATCGTGATCTTCATCCTACTGATCATACAGACGGTGAGTTCAATTATTTCTCAAAATAAAACCTAGCTCTG